GTGATCCCTTTTTGTGATCTCCTGAAACTAAATCAACGAGGAAGCCAGATTCACAACAACCCTGTTGCTAACTTCCCAGCTGGAATGATTCACTTAAGGACCGTGGCGAAAAAGATAAAATGGGGCAAAATTCTCACTTAAGCAAATGTTTCACTTAGCAACATAAATTTTGGGCTCAATTGTGATCATTTGGGACATAGGAGTTTTTCTCAAGAGGCAACTGGACTTATTGTTTTTTTCTTTGAAGATGTTTAGCTTCTCGCCCAAGAAGCTTCTTCGGTTCTAACTGGATGGTGGGCAAGGGAAGAATTCAATCAGAGCCGAAGAAGCTTCTTGGATGAGAAGCGAAACGTCTTCAAAGAAAAACCAGAATGTCCAGTTGCCTCTTGAAAAAGCATCTTTGGGACAACCATGATGTGGAGGACTGAGAATCTCCATAGATATTTAGCTCAATCTATCTGGCCATCATGGAAGCTAACAAAAAGCAAAGAAAGGCAAAAAGGGAAAAGAAAAGACGCATCCATGCAGTCCAAATCCAGATTAAACTCTACAGTACGACAATAAAATTCCCCAGTGGCTTTACAACACTTCTGAGGGATTGCTTTTCATAAACTGCTTTTGCTTTTGGCTCTCATCCCATGGTGTTTTGGTGCATTTCTGCAGAGGTTCAACAGCACCAAAAGTCCACAGTGGCAGGAAATGTATAAACAGAATTTAATCCCAGAGATGTTTTTCTTTTTCTGTGAACACGGCCTCCGAACGCTGAGATTGCAATGAACCATCAAAATTGATGGCTCCTGAGCTGCAGCCACTAAGCCTTTCCCCCTTGATTTTTAACTCCATCGCTCTGATTCATCCCTTTGCTCAAAGGGATCCTTTGCTGAAAGCCAAAAGTAACAGTGAAGAAATATTTCATATAATCACTTTTGCAACTTCTAAAAAAACAAGGCAACAATCCCATCTGACCTGCAGCTTTATTTCTGCGGTAGCAAGAATCTGCATCTCTGCATCAAGAGAGTATTTATTATTGAAGCAACATCATAAAGAGGCAACCACTGTGTTCTTCTGCAAAGAATCTGCAAACACCCCCAAAATTGCTGGCTTTGGGGTGTTTTTTTTTCCTTCAACCCAACTTCAACCATATGTCAGAGTTTCAAGTAATACACCCATAACAAACAGAACTTCAAGGCAAGTAGGTCCCTCAAAGAATTGGTTTATTGGACATATCAGAGTGGCACAGGCTGGTGAAAACTGACTCTGAATATTCCCGTGGTTTTTATCTAATTAAAAGTAAAAGGTTTTCCCCCTTCCCCAAACAATCTGTCACATGGTCCAATCAAGGTGCTGTCTGGTTGTTTGGTAATGTCGCTCTGCCTCTCTCCGGCCACCTGTGGGAATGTCCTTGGTACCCAGGAGAAAGTATTTTATTTCGACTACAAGCCCCCCTCCCACTGTCTCTATTCCCCCCTCCCTGTCCCTCAGCTCCAGTGTGGCAACACTGAAGCTTCAAAATGGCCTTGGTCGGGTCAGCTTCAGGGTTGACACCATGACTATTTTATAAGTCTGTGAATGTATCTGCTAACACCATAAAGATTGTCTTAGCATTAGCAAGAGACTCCAAATATTCCCCTAGAAATGGATTCAACAAGGGATCAACCCCATTCTGCTTCCACTGGCCCTACTCCATTTGGTCTTCTCGTGCCCAGGTGACCTTGGAGGTGTTGAGCATGAGGGCCATAAGGAAGTAAAACTGATACAGGGTCTTCTGCTTGAGCTAGGGTTGGATTAAAAGATCACCAAAAGGGGTCTTACAACTCTGTTATTTCTATATTCTGCCCCCAAAAGTGGGGATGTCTGTGATCCAACTTTTCCTTCAAGAACTTCTCCAGATGATTCTACACTGGGGACATGTTCTCCCCTTAAATACTTGGTGTCAAGAAAAAAACAACTGCAAACAAAAAAGAGGTAACCTCTAATAAAGGGAAGATTAGTGGGAACACATCTGGGAAGGCTAATCAATGATACCACATCTGGTTGGTGGCAACTGCTTGCCTGTTGGGTGATGTTTCATGCGTGCCGTGTGCCACCTGCTGGACATTGTAGACTTGATGGCAAGCAAGCTCCAGTCCAGTTTTATGGGAATGTTTTGTTTCTGCTAAAGTTGAGTTTTTAGGGAGGGAAAAAAAAAACTATTTTAGTTGAGTCATATGAAGTTTCAGAACAGCAGATGCTGGATCTGTTTCTGAGCCACATCATTCCAGTAAAACCGTTTAAGGGAAGATCTGGACTGCTTTCCGGACACTTCATCTTCAGAATCACATTTGGAAAAGGAAATGTTGAAAATAGCTCCTGGCTCTTGAAACATGACAGTGGAAAGGCAGGCTGGGAATCTAAGGCTCGGAATGCCACCCGACACCTGGATGGACAGGATCTAATAATGCTTCCCCAGAGATTTGCAAGGAACCAGCAGTTTATTATGTACAATAGGACTCTCATCCCCTGTTTATATGCAGTAGCAAAGAATAACCCCATGGTTCAATAGCCTGAATTGTAGTTTCCTTTTTTGAGATGAAAACTTTGCTTTTCTTAAAATGGTCCAAAATGGCAGAAGTCTGAAAAGCAAATCACTTTTTGAGATTCTAACAACTAAATTCATTCTGAAAGAGGATCCTTCCTTTCTTCCTCCCTCCCTCTCTTTTCCTTCCCTTTCCTCATCCTCCTTCCTCCTTTCCCTCTTGTCTTCCTTCTTTCCTTCCCTCTTGTCTTCCTTCCCTCCCTTCTTCCTTCCTTTTCCTCCCTCCCTCCCATCCATCCATCCATCCCTCTATCCATCCATCTATATTGATTTTCCTCCATCTGTTTTGAGCACCTCATCCAGTCTGGTTCAAGTCCATTTCTTAAAATGTTGGGTAGTCAAACCATTTACTCAGGTTAAATGCACTAACATGGTTGCCTTGGTTTTTAATGTTCTGTGTTGATAAGACTCAGAACTGTAGTTTGTGCTACATAGCTCTCGAATCATGATGCTGTGTGAATGCAGGCACTTTTAGCTTGTGTAATAAACCATGCTTAACAAACCATGGCATAAGGTCGTAAACTCAAGGCTGGAGAAAAGTCTTTATAGTACTTCATTGTTGCAAACCCCGGCAATCTTCATAAGCCTCTTTGCAAATGACACCTCCTTCCTTCTATCTGGCAGGTATAATCTAAGAAAGGGAAGGAAGAATATTTTTCTCTTGTTTCTCCTCCTGTGTTGATGGGTTTTCAAAACCTTGCACCAAACTCTGTCTTTCTTTCGGGGAGTAAAGGAAAGGAATCAGCAGAGGAAAGAATAGAGTAGTACAGTCTGCAAGTTTTCTTTTTCTTTCTTTTTAAACAGTAACTTTCTACAACCTTGGGAAGGTTTATTTTAATGCTTTCTGAAAGGCCCACCTCTCTCGAGGCACAGTAATATACTTAAAATACACTTAGTAGCACACCCTGGAGGTACGAAAAAGATTTCCAACTCTCGGATTTTAAAGTAAAGAAACATTTCATTGCTTATTTTGACTTCTTGCCTGAGATCAGCTGCGAAAGAACTTCTGTTGAGAAAGAAGTACAGCCAAATTCAACTTTTTGTTCCAACAAAGCAAAGAAACACACACACACACACATACAGACACACACACACAGGCACACACGAAAAGTGCTTTGCTTTTGTTTTGCCTAAGCATTCGTCAGTACTTTCTAAATTTAGGCTTTCTCTCAACCATCCCTTGGAGAGAAAATCATGATTTGAGGCGTGAGAGCAGTATCCAACAGCCCACTCCAGCTTGGATGCCCTCCGGGGAGCAAACTGGGACACTAGAGACCTACCTAGTCACCTGGCTGAAGAAGGACAAGCTCATATTTACCAGGAGGAAAAAAACAAATCCTCTGAAACATTTGCGCTTCCTTCTGATTTTCCAAACAATTCTGTGGTGAACAAAGATATGGAGAACTTGTTTTTGTGGGGTGCTTGGTGCTCTCTGAGCTTGGTTGTTGTCTTGCAGATGTTTCTTGACCTAGCTAGGTAACATCATCAGTGCTAGAAAGGAATGGGGTGGGTAGAGAGGAGGAGGAGGAGGAGGAGGGAGAGGGGGATGAGGATGTATCTAGTTGGTCATGAAACGTTAGCAACCCAGCTCAGAGAGCATCAAGGATTCCACAGTTCAACCCTGAGCTACAAATATTTTTTTAAGCAAACAAAGAACTCTTGGCTTGATAAATATCAACTCAGTAGCACTTGCCTTTCCATAGATTATACAATAAGGATCCGAGGTGGAAAGTGCCACCACAACCAATGACAGGCATTACTCAGAGTTGTGCTAAAAGAGGACCTTTTTCTTCTGCAATCCAATAGAGTGTATTAACATTTCCAGGTCTTGATGCAAATCCCAGGTCTGGTGCCTTCTCGCCTTCTAAGGACCATGGATAACAAGACACGGAATCAGGGTTGCTTTGTGATGTGTGTGTGAGGACATGTGCCAATTACAACCCTTGACATGTTGCTGCACATCCTTCTCCACCTGTGAAGGATATCGGGATTCAACTCTATCCAGAAGATTACAGACGTTGCATTCATCTGCTCTACAGCTTCACCTTACCCCCTCACCTGAATGGTTTTTGTGATGTTGAGACTCTAGAAAAAGGGCAGAGCAGAGCAACCAGGATGATTTGGGGACTGGAGACTAAACCATATGAAGAACAGTTGCAGGAACTGGGCATGGCTAGTCTAGGGAAGAGAAGGACCAGGGAAGACAGGAGAGCAATGTTCTAATATTTGAAGGGTTACCACAGAGAGAAAGGGGTCAACCTATTTTCCAAGGCACCTGTAGGCCAGACAAAGAATAATGGATGGAAACTGAACAAGGAGAGATTCAACCTGGAAATAAGGAGAAACTTTCTGACAGGGAGAACAATCAACCCATGGAAGAGAAGTTGCCTTCGGAAGTTGTGGGAGTGTCATCACTGGAGGCTTTCAAGAAAAGATTGGACTGCTATTTGTCAGAAATGGTGTAGGTCTCCTGCTTGGGCAGGGGTTTGGACTAGATGACCTACAAGGTCCCTTCCAACTCTGTTAATCTGTAAATCTGGTGTGGAAACCATCAAAAGGCCAAGATAATTGCTGTCAGATAAATAACCGAACCCTCCAGGTTATCCCATCCTCATCTCCAGTAGGCCACCTCAGCAAAGGGTCAACCCCTTGGATGGCTGCCATTTTACCATCAAATGGAAAGCTCCTTCAGCAGGTCCTTCTCCATTATCGTGGTCTCAGTGCCATTTTTCCCTGTTGGTTCCTGGCCCATTCGACCCTCAGTGGACGCCCTTGGAGAGATAAGCCTTGTAAGGCTGTAATGGCCTCTTCAGCCTTGGATGGGTCACTGTAGCTGAGGAACGCTTGATGTTGTGCACCTCGCCAGGAGAGCCGTGATGGAGTCACATGGTGTATTTTGAGGGCCTCCTTTAAGTCACTCACCCTGGTCCCAGAGGAGATGTTGCCCACGTAGACAGTGGCAGGAGCCCCGAGGTGGCCTCGTTCATCTGATAAAGCCTCTCCTTCTCTCCTTGGTTGGGCCAAGCTGGCCTCCGCTTGCGGCCTACTGCCTTCTGGAAAGTTCTCATTGGCTCCTCTTGGGGTCTTTCCCATGGTCGAAGTATCGGGCGGTTCATCTTTGAGGAGAACATCTTTGCCTTCCAGTTTCTCTCTCCCATGAAGAATCTTGAGGACTGGGATTTTCTTCAGAGTTTCCTGGCTGATCTAAAAAGAATAGAAATGTAATTGAAGCAAATTACAGGAGTAACACTTATATCGACCGCCTGATTTTTTTCCAGGAGCATCAGGAGGGTATCAGAAGATGCTTAAGGTAAGAGCAATTAGTCTGAAGAACAAGATGCTGCCAGGAAGCATTGTGTGTCTCTCTCTCTCTCTGTGTGTGTGTAGACTCTGAGCTTGACCAACTGTTGAAACCCCATCATCCTTACAACTCTTTGCATAGAAAGAAGCAGCATGTGTGTCTTTCTGTCTACCTATCATCCATCCATCCATCCACCCACCATTTATCTATCTCCCT